GTCCTAACCTTCCCAGAATAGGGGAATTCCCTGCAGTCTCTACCTAGCTGCTAACACACACGGAGTGATGCGATGGTGCCAAAACACCAAGACAGAAAATTGCAATGGCTGCGTACCTGGAAGACCCGCAATGGCCCGCTCCATGTGCAGCCTTCCTTGCGATTACGACAGTATACCGGTACTGCTTGTACCTCACGCTCAGCGAATGTGTCCTTGAAGCCCTGTCACGCCAATACGATGCAAACAAACACACACAAACATACACAAACACACACACACCATTGACCATTTGTCGCCCATCGCCCGATGCTACAGCAGGAGCCATATGAACTTGTGCTGGGACTGCACCATTCAACAGCTTGCAAGGCACACACAAACACACACACATAAACACACACACACACACACACACACACACACACACACACACACACAAACACTCAGTGAAGTCAAGACAATGACAGCTCATATCAACATAGTCAAAGGGACTTGTCCTGAAAAACTGCAACAGTGATACGGTTACAGAGACAAGCAATAGAAACAACAAGAAGCATAAAGTGAAAAGACACACTCCACTCTATACACAGTGCTAATGGGTGATCGTGTGCTGCCACAACCAAACATGCACCAGGAACAAGGACCTTGGTCTTGGGTTTTGTGAAAGCCTTTTCTACGCTTCTCCCCACAAGTAGAGTGAAACCTGGTTAGGAAGAACCGACTGATAAGACAAATGTTTGCCTAAGAAGAACTAGTATTCGTAACTGTATTGGATAAAACCCTGTGTATTCACTGGGTGAAACATATGGATAAGAAGAACTCCCGTTATTACGAACAAATATCATCGGTCCCTTGATGTTCGTCCTAAAGAGGTACGTAGATGTGCAGTAAACGGGAGCTACAATCATGGCCAGCAATCGAGGACATCTGAGAGTTGTAATTTTTGTACTCCTCCGAGGTGTGATTTTTGGCGTGCTGGGCCAAGCACAAGGAAGCCATCTGCAAAAAAACTGCAGAAAATGGTTGTTGTTTCATCCTTTGGTGTAATCTTTGTTTCTAGTCGAAGCTAGTTGCTGTTTGGAGCAGAAACGCTGAAATTGACTATTTTCTGCATGTACTCATACATGTACTCATGTACTCAGGCATGCAGTCTCACTCGTATTTTAGCTCTTTTTCTGGAATGGATGCTGCTCTGCGCCCCTTGGTGAACCTTTCCTGCGCTCGTGGAGCAGCTGAAAAGGACCACTGGTATGTCTGGTTCATGGTTTGAAAGTGGAGAGTCGACTTTTGTGCCTTGAAAAAGGAGTAGAGAGCGATAAAGGTACGTCTGTGGCTTATTTTTGAGTGCTCCTCGTACATTTTTGATCGTGATAGAAATTCTCAGACCAAAGTCAGACCAAAGTCAGCGCGATGATGGCCGTACAGTTTTCTTGTGGATTTTTTAGTTGTTTCATCTCGTATCTATGTCAGTATCGTGATGGTGAAGTGGAGAGGGTGATTTTCTTCCTCTAGGCTTCGTTCGGCCGACTTTGCTTCGTCCTCGTTGAAAAGTGATCCTGAAAAAAAGGTCGATTCGCAAAATTATGTTTATTTTGAATGTACGTGGTGACATGCGATTGCTGGCTATGGCTTGCCAAAAAACATCCGGTCAATGCTGCACATGGTAGTCGACTACCGTAATCTCGGATTTTTTCGGCAATCACTGTATGATAAACATATCACTAAATACCATTACAAAGGCCATGCAATGTCATTACTTAAAGTCTTTGAGGGAATGGAAAGGAAACAGTCTGAGGACAGCATGTACAGTCCCCAGCAGGACTTGACGTGCAGCGTGACCAGTTGGGACTGCTTTCACGGTCTCCCTAGTGGCGTGAGATCGTGTACCGCAGTGACCCAGCGTGACCTCGTACCCAGACCAATAAGAACCAGGTCACATACCTCATTCTCCAATGTCTCGTCACAGAGTGGACACTTTGGAGGAACTTTGCTGTGAGCAGATCAACACAGGGAAAACACCAATAGAAACAAACAAGTTAATCTCATTTAGAATAGATACGAGTATTCTCGCTGCTACAGTACTGCCGGGCGCCGAAGAACGACCAGGCTAGAATTTCACCAAGCACACACACAGCATGCCAATGTATACACAGCATTACAGTACACCGCTGCATGGACTGGCAAGGACTGGCATGGACTGGCATGGACTGGCATGGACTGGCATGGACTGGCATGGACTGGCAAGGACTGGCATGGACTTGGCCTGGTTGAGCACTCTTGCTGGCTCATGTGTTGAAGCTACCTGCTGCCCTGGTGCAACTCTTGCTGTGTTCCCCCCCCCCCAGTTAAAATGCAAACACGGACCCCCAGAGTTGCTACATGATACATGTACATTTGCAAATCAATTGAAATAATAATGTATTCGTCGAGCGTGACGCACACACGATTATAATGCATACCATTTTGACCAACACTCTCGCCTTTCAAGTTATAGTCGGAGACTTTTTACGCGTGTTGAACTGCGCCGAAACCCACGGTCAACTGGGTACTCACAGCTCGAGTGAGGATAACAAGGATGCAGTTTACAGGGTTATGGGTCGTTACATGCCCGATTGGTTGAGAGACTCACCTCCTCTCCCCTGGCTCACTTGTGAGGTCTGCATTCGCCACTAAGGTGTAAAGGCATAGTGGTGGCCTGCGGAAGCGAAGGCTATAGCTTGTGTGTTTCTGAACATTCAAGTGATGCTAACGCGGATCCCGCGAATATTAGTCGGAGAATACTGGGCAGCCGGGGTTCAAAAGTGACACGTGTGAAACACACACAGATACTGACTATCGACACAGATACTGACTATCGACACACTAAACCAACAACTGGTGTACAGTTCGTGCAAACGGCCCAGGTCGGGTCAGAAACCTCAACCAGTTTGAAATCAAGCTCTTCGTTTCGTACTGCGCAGTTTGTAGCCTGAAACAAAAGCTCATCTAACATGCGCACCATACTCTAGTAGGGCTGCAGCGGCTACCGTTTTTGAGGTTATCGGTTAACCGGAATCCTAACGGCTAACCAAACTGCTATAACCTATAGGAGATAGTATAGTGGACATGTTACATGTTACATTCTATTGTGCAAACTGGACCCAGATCCCTGCCGACCAGATCACTTCCATCGGACAGATGCAATCGAATGTGCACAACTGATACCGGCAATCCGCTTCAAGACCTTAGCAACCGCTTTGCTACAGCTGATCTCGTACTATTCCGTGGTATACGTACGCCTTATCTAGTGTATGCATATTTGGAGTTTTGAGTGGATACGGTGCAAATGAATCCGTCGAATCCGGCTCTCTGGGGTGGGTTGACTGAATCCGAATCCGTGAGCCCGGGATCCGGATTCATACAATCGAACATGTACGAATTTGGCGAATCCAGATCCGGGGCCCGAGGATTTGCACAATCGAACATGCCCTAATTTACTGTGTGTCAAAGAGCAGGCTAACTCAGTAACTGTACAGTGGGCACCAATAACTATTGCTCATTATTCACTGATACACACAGGCCAGAACAACACTATTCTTGAACCACATTGGGTAGTGACAACGACATTAATTAACCCTGACCGATTTCTCAAGGTTTCCTTGCCACAGACTGCACAGATAACTAAACATCTCGAACTACAGTCAGACCTTGCATAACCGCACACATCCGTATCCCAGACGAAAATCCTGATAGGCGAGGGAACCGGATAATCGAACACACATACTGGATGTGTTCATGGCATATGCTGTAAATCGGTAACCAACGATTTTCTTCCGGATGGCGAAGGATCCGGATAAACGAGGCCTGGATAAGCGAGGTCTGACTGCACAGCTCTTCTCCAGCTTACCTGAGTATGATGTTGGAGCAAGGTCGGCAGAATCTATCGCCACAGCTCAGCTGCATTGGTTGGTTGAGAATGAACTTGCAGTAGGTGCACTTGTAGCGCTCATCCAGTTTGTTAACGGTTTCCAGATCATGTCCTGGAATGCGTGTGATGTGTACACACATGAGTATAGAGCACACAGAGAAAACAAGACAAAGAGAGAGAGAGAGAGAGAGAGAGAGAGAGAGAGAGAGAGAGAGAGAGAGAGAAAGAGAGAGAGAGAGCGAGAGAGAGAGCAACATGTGATTCGGTGCAACGTGCTACATTGGTTATCTAGTCATTGCCATCACCTGCCATTAGCATCACCTAGCAACAGTATCACCTAGCAACAGTATCACCTAGGAACAATATCACCTAGCAACAGTATTATAGTATCCCTGCCTGGCTAGTACTGAACTTTACCTGACGTATATTTAGTGTATCCCCGTACGTTAGCGTACGGGGTCTGTTGCATAAAAGCTGCTGCGCATTTCTGTTTTCATGAGAATTTATAACAACGACAGAGCAGAACTAGAAGAGCTGTTCAACCTCCAGGTGTGTACCGGAGAAAGTTCTTTCTATTTGCCGCTGCTTCTCTTACTTACACTATAATCCAGGTGTGTACCTGAAGTTCGATTAAAAGTTAATTCGTGCACCGTGCCTCCACTCGGCTACCACTACAGTATCACCTAGCAACAGTATCACCTAGCAACAGTCTCACCGTACATTAACATGCAATTCTCATACATCTGTCATGTGCAGAATTGCAACTGGGAGTGGGAATCGTGGCTTTTACGTAACCAGCTGCGTCCATATATGTGAGGCATGCTATTATGACACTACAGGTTATGGAAGATGTTGCACGGCATTACAAATTTGGAAGATGTTGTACAGCATTACAAATTTAGAAGATGTTGCAGGATATTCTTACCTCTTTTTGCATGGTCCGTTGAAGATATACTTGGACTGGGTGAACGAGTAGCGATCTTCTGCTTCAATGTCGACATGGAGGCCATTGACACCTACTGTGCACACACACAACACAGCATTCACACAACAAACAAACACAACACGACATTCACATTATGTATGGTGGAGAGAGAGAGAGAGAGACAGAGAGAGAGTGTGTGAGAGAAAGAGAGAGAGAGAGAGAGAGAGAGAGAGATAGAGAGGGAGAGAGAAAGAGAGAGAGAGACGAGACAGTTGTGTTGACTCAGAGCAGCTGCCAGGAAGCCTTCCATGGCTTGGGCAAAAAAGAACAAGTTTTCAAAATCGTTCCAGAGCTGGTGGAGATGGGCCTGTCGCATTTTCTGTCCCCGGGGAAAATCGCGGAAAAAAATCGCAACACGCGGCAAAAAACGCGGCATATGGCATAATTTGCGGTGAATTTGCGGTAAATATGCGGTAAATATGCGGTGAATATTATTGATATCATCTCGCGGCGGCAAGTTTCCAGTTCATATGAGGCAATTTTCAGTATGTAGTGAAATCAATCAGTTACAAGTCTCTGGTGTAAGCGCTCGTAATATTTGAGTACAAAGCCGCCACCGGATGAGACTTTGCTGACCGAACAGTGCACTGTGTGTACACGTAGTGAAACAGAAAAGTTCCAAAACGCGGGGAAAATCGCGGAAAACGCGGTCTTTTAAAAAATCCCAAAAAACGCGGAAAAAACGCGGCCGCAGAATCGGGATTTTCCCCGGGGATAGATTTTGTATACTTTTCAAAGCGTGACCCGTTCACCACAATCTCGGGGTGAACGCCGCAGATGAGCACGGCGCCGCAGATGAGCACGGCGCCGCTTCCTTCAGATGAGCACGGCGCCGCTTCCTTGAAAAGCTCTATACGTAAGTACAGCCTACTCTCCATACGTCGCGCACCCATGCACCCGATCTTGAAGACAACACTGCGTGACTCATCGCCAATGCAGGACTTACACCATTGCATACGTATACAAAAGTATATGCCGTCGTCCAAATTGCAAGAGTGCACGACTTAGCGCTAGTAGACTGTAAGTTTAGAGTAAAGAAAAAACGACCAAGAAATTACAAGCTACGCTAAAATAGGGAGGTTTAGTCCCACGTAACGGATACGGGAACGCGGGTGATACACGTAAAGTTCATGCAATGGACCCACGTTCGCAATGTTGTCTTTAGTCACACGGAACAAACAAAATCATGAAGCGAAAGGCCCAAGCTTGGTCCAAGGCGAAGCTTCGAAGCTCATAGGATATTTTGATTTCGTGCTTCGGAAGCTTCGGAAGCTGAGCACCCTCACAGCTTGCACAATGCGCTTCATTCTGATTTTCACCCACGTTCTGGCGGAACTTGGGTGAGCCTCCATACACTGTATGTCGTGAATCAGAAAACGTCTGTACGTGGGTCACTGAGAATCACGTGGTACACACACGTAAAGTACACACGGATTACGTGGGATTAAACCTCCCTAATGTCCACTAACACCACCAGTTACTATACAATCAGCTCATGTGATAACATTGCACGAAACTGACAGACGGTTTCTTGGTCCTTTTTTCTTTACTATAAATTTATCCTTGGCTCTCCATCCGAGTCCAGACTGTACGTTACTTTGTTTTATTTATTTTTACTAAAAGTCATGTGGTGCACGCAGTGAATACATGCTGCAGTTATGGTGGTGGGGGTACTGACCTGCCTATCAATACTACGTTGAGACCATCACTGAATCAACCCACTCACGCTAGAATACTTGGCGTGCATAAGATAAGATAATCCACTGCCTCCCTATAATGCCATAACCTCCATAGTTGCAGGACAGCTGGAAGCAGTTTTTCATTGGTCCAGTGGTATAGTGGCCTTTCATACCTTGTGTATAGACATGGTGCATACACATGTATAGACATGGTGCATACCCATGATTGTATCGATATGGTGCATACACATGATTGTATGGATATGGTGCATACACATGATTGTATCGATATGGTACATACACATGATTGTATGGATATGGTGCATACACATGATTGTATGGATATGGTGCATACACATGATTGTATGGATATGGTGGATACACATGATTGTATGGATATGGTGCATACACATGATTGTATGGATATGGTGGATACACATGATTGTATGGATATGGTGCATACACATGATTGTATGGATATGGTGCATACACATGATTGTATCGATATGGTGCATACACATGATTGTATGGATATGGTGCATACACATGATTGTATGGATATGGTGCATACACATGATTGTATGGATATGGTGCATACACATGATTGTATGGATATGGTGCATACACATGATTGTATGGATATGGTGCATACACATGATTGTATGGATATGGTGCATACACATGATTGTATGGATATGGTGCATACACATGACCTCCACGGTAGTGACACGTGGTGGTCCGGTGATAACCAGACCACCCGGAACGGGTCTGGCGGGTCTGAGCTGGGGGTGACAGTGGCAACAGTGGCACACCACCCTGATGGTGACAATGGCAACAGTGGCACACCAACCTGATGATGACAATGGCAACAGTGGCACACCACCCTGATGATGACAATGGCAACAGTGGCACACCACCCTGATGATGACAATGGCAACAGTGGCACACCGACCTGATGATGACAATGGCAACAGTGGCACACCACCCTGATGATGACAATGGCAACAGTGGCACACCACCCTGATGATGACAATGGCAACAATTGCATACCACCCTAATGTACTGCACATGTGGAGCAGTGAACCGGCCTATCCATTCACACTGCCACTACCAGCCGAGGAGTTATTCATTGGTTCGTTCATAGCATAGTCGTCACTAGTTAAAACGCTGTGCATGATATGGCAGGTGCACACATGACCTCCTCAGCGGTGGGCACGCGTTAAGGTTGAATGGCCTGACCAACGGGACTGGTTTCGCCCCGCCGGTCCTGCAGTACACAATTACTAGGGTCAGGCATCCCTCCCTCCCCCCTCCCCCCTCCTCCCTCCGTCCGTCTCTCTCTCTCCCCCCCCCCCCCTCCCTCTCTCTCTCTCTATTGGACACCCGGAATACGCTGCACAGTACCATCTGGAGCATTAGACACCCTTAACAAAAACCGTTATGTTGTACCGGTATTACCGTAAGGGGAAAAATACCGAGATTCGGGATCGACCTTTAGCAAGATGCACGCTAATTTTAGTACACTGTTGCCATGAGAATAGCTTTTATTTCGCGCGGTACAACCGTTCATGGCACCATATACGCGATACAAGGTGAAATGCGTACGGACCATGCAGTATTTGGCCAAAAAACGTACCGTTTGTCACAACGATAAATCAGCCTCTTAACGTTTTTACGTTGCAACTTCAACGCTTTATGGGTGATCAAGGTACGAGTACCGTAAAAAAATACCGTTGTTTGCGAATAGGCGATTCAGACTACGGCCAACTGTGACCACGTTTCTACGACTCAGGCGTGTTTGTTTGAGCAGCGATTGTGCATAATCATTTGAAACATGACTGCATCACCATGGAAATTAAAGTTCAGACGTTATTTTGGCCGTAGTCTGAATCGCCTATGGGTGTTTGTTTGTAATTATTTACTGGTACTACTCCTGCATGCAGCAGCAGCACAACCTTTTCCAAACCGTGGACACTCAACTGGCTCAAGCCGTACGCTGCCAAGCTGAATTTTCAGGTCACCGTCACACTGATAAGTTATAATTACAAACACGATACAGTCAGGACTGTGTGATTGTGGTGCTACTTGCCTGATTTCTACGCCGTTTTCCTAGCGCCGCTGGCCTGTCGCTAAGCTTGAATGTACTGGGCCAATGCTGTTCCCCTGTTGGTCCGTTTGTAGGTAGGCACGCTGCTAACCGTTTCTAACCTCTCTTCTATCTCTCTCTCTTTTCGGTGGTATTCACCTACCAGGATCGACCTCTTCAGAAGATTCGTTTCCTGCTTCTTATCAGCGTATCACTGATGTTCATCCCCTTCAAATATTCGGAATGCAACTGCTCGCCTGGTGGCAGTGCACTACACGACTAGTTCTGTATGCAGGGCTAGGGACGCAGCGTCAGGATACCTGCAGTTACTAACAGAGTCAGTAACACTAACAGTCAGCAGCAGGCTTCAGTGCCGAGGAACAACCATCTGTTAGCCAGCTTGTCGACTTCACGGGAATAATTTGGCCCAGTGTCAGTGAATCTAGCTAGCCGATCCCGCTCAACATGACTGTGGCCTGTGCAGTGACCGGTCGACCAGGTGGTGGCTGGTGACTGACTGTGTGCATGATTGTGTTGCAACCAGCACTTGCACTGCAGTCTAATGCAGAGTGCAGTTACAGTGCTGGCAACTGAAATCCGGCCACCTGGGCGGCGCGTCGCGTCGCCCAGGGGGCCGGATTTCAGTTGCCAGCACTGTATATGTAGTAACACTAACAGTCTACGTCTGGCGGTTTCAGAGGCAGCTGTTTAGAAAAATTAATTTTAAATTATTTTTATTACAATCATGACTGTAATACTATGTTAGTATTGTAGTCTACCAAAAGGGCTTGAAAGAGCTACGTCACAGCATAGCAACAATTTCAAAAATTCAAAAATTGGATCCACTTGGATCCAGTTTTTGTATGGATCCAAGCACATTTCAACCCGTCTTACTCCATGTACTCACAGCAAGGTGATGTTGCCAGTGAAACTGACTGATTTGGCTTCTGGGGGCGGGGTTACAACTGGTGGCGAAGCAAAAGTCACCCCTGCATACGACATAAGTGGGTTGCTATGCACCCACATACTGAGGCAACAGCAAAGTCACACCTTAGTGGATCCAAAATAGAAATCTGATGTCAACTTACTACTCCCTGACCGTTTTCGACGTCATCACTTTCAAGCCCTGTAGATCTACCATGTCATGCCACTCATGGTCTACTGCCACAGTGCCAGCATGCAGCGAGCTAGCTGTAGCTGTAGCCGGCTACAGAGTACAGTCTACAGAGTCAGTGACTGTGTATCACTGTATCCATGGTATCAGTGGCAGACTGGCATGGCAGTGCATCACTAGCGCATACTACACACTCAACAGTCCAGACTGTGAGTGTGACTCACTACACTCT